GGACCACGCATGTCCTATCTGTGTGTGCTGTTAGCTTGTGACTGTTGATGTCATGTGACATGCCCATTGTCACTGTGATTCAGTAGCCCTACATCCATCCCATTGTCCCCAGCTCGTGATCTTTAAAGTTCCTCCCTCCTTGTTTAGGGGTGCCATTCTCCTCGTGTTAATTCTCTGTGGGGTCATTTCTTACACAAGCATGCTCAGTCACATTGTACATTTCATTTATCCCATAGCCCTAGAGAGCCCCTCTCCCTCCCTCCCTCCCTCCCTCCCTCCCTCCCTCCCTCCCTCCCTCCCTCCCCCTGGAGGCAGTACCCATGTAGCAAAAGGAAAAAAAAATCTTGTTTGCAGTCAGGGAAAAAAAATATCCTAAATCTGTTATCTGTTTGGCCTTGTGGAATTCTTAGTATTTCGTCATTAAAAAGCAGACTAGTAGAATGTAAAAGAATCAAGAGGAATTACTAGTCAAAAAGACAGGCTATCCTGGGACTGGTGGCACAAGCTTGTAATCCCAGCTCTTTAAGTAAATTGAGACAGGAGTCTCAAAATGACAGGAACTTTAAATTCACTCAACTCATCTTTTGGAGAGCAGCAACTGTTAGGGAATATATAGCCTTTTAACTTAATATGAGAATACTTAGCATCTCTTTGCTTGCAAATTACAGAAGAGCCTTCTGTCATTGGCATAAGTCATAGGCATTTCCTTTGCACGCCTGATCTGTAGTCCTTATGAATCAACCTTGTGGTTGATTCGGTCCTCATGATCAAAATCATGTCTTTGGAATACCATGGGTGTTAATAGTTTCTAATTAGTTGTCACCAATTTTGCTCATCAGGTCCCGGGGTCACAACTGTCAACGAAATAGACTTAAAAAAAGGAAGTCTTTCTTATACTGCTGATAAAAGATCCAGACTATCATTACAGAGATTAAAAACAAAACAAAGCCCAAATCAACAACAAAAACCCAAGTGTTTGTCTTATCTCTTGTAAGATCATGGAGATATCACTCCATATGACTGACTAGTATGAACAGAGCATGTGTACTTCTGTAAAAAATTTCTCTCCTCGATAAAGGGAAACAACACAGATTTATCTACTATAGCTTTCAGATTTCTTTAGGGATATAGTGAGGGTTTGAGCATCATTAGCCTTCTAAGAGCCTTAAAGGAAACATGGGTCCATGCTGGGGCATCCAAAATGGGATCCATGGGAACAATAAAATACTAATACAGCATGCCATGTAAAGAATACTTGAAAAAGAACAGTATCTTTCTTTGATTTTTTTTTTTTTAATTCACCAGTACAGTTGATTGAGTTCCTGTCATTTGTCTAACCCTTTTTGAGGCTTGTGCATTTCTGAATATGACAAATAAATGTATAGTTTTTCTTTGATGGGGATGACTGCCTGAGTTGGATTTCCGTTGTGTCCCCTGAGTTTCCAGTGGATAGTCTCTGAAATGTGTGCCCACTGTTTTCTTCTTTATGTTTGGTGCCCTGGACATCGTGCAGTAAGTAGCTGTATTTATTCCTTCTGGCAGATTTATAGGCTTTATACTTAATGTTACCTTTAGAGGATTTTGTCTTTTGTATTAAGATGAACAATAGCTTTCTAAATATCTCTTTAGACCCTTGTTTTGTATGGACTAAATACTTTAAAAGTATTGATTGGGTTAGTTGGCTGGAAAATGTTTTACAAGTAGTGCTACTTGGGGCATATATGTACGTACGTGTGTGTGTGTGTGTGTGTGTGTGTGTGTGTGTGTGAGGCAAACCTTCTTCCAGCCCCCTTCACCCGCTGCGATTTATATGGTAATATAGTTCTTTCTTTAGCTCATCGCTTCTGGTCAGTGATCACCCTATCTCAGTGGCATTTAGACCTAAATGTATTTTGAATGTACAATGTTGGATCAATCCACGGGACACTTTTGTGTCTTGGTGTTTGCATTGATAAACTGAAAATGACAGTAGTACTGATCTCTGGAGCTAGGTAGATGGCTTAGCAGTTAGAACGCTTGTTGTTCTTGCTGAGAACCCAGGTTCTGTTCCCAGTACCCACTTGACCGCTAACCACCTTCTCTAAGTTCACTTTTATGGCACTTAGACCATCAATAAGCATATCAGAACTAGTTATTGGTCAGTTGCAGTCGTTGGTTTTCTGTGGCTACAATAATCAGTGAAAGCATTCTGTACATTCTCATTGGCTTGCGCAGTTGGCAGTAGAACAAACCACAGGTATTAATTATTGCTCGCCAATTGTGTGGCTCACATTTTTGTGTTGGTAAAGTCTGGGGTGATTTGGGCGCGCACACACACACACACACACACACACACACACACACACACACACACACAGTATTTTGTTATTTTTAAGCAGTTATTGCTGCTGTCACTTTTGTCTCGCAGACTTATGGATGGGTTTCGAGCATATGGACGGTGTCTGGGTTTAGCTTGTAACAGATGCTGTTGGTGTCATACGCAGATCTCCTTTACTGGGCCAGTGCATCCACCCCCCAGCTGCTGTGGCGTTGACTGCTAATGATGCACACCTGTACCCTTCTCCAGAGGACCACTCTTGGCTGACAGTAACTGCCCCAGCCTGATATAATCTGATTCTGTCCCAGACCCCTCCAGGTACCCTGGGGTGCCTCACGGCAAATAACTATATAGAGATATTCTGGTGTCTGGACTGGACGTGATTCAGCCCAGACTTTAAGAGCTCCTTGGAGAATCGAGCTGGACAGAGATATCTGAAGTCAATCTTTACCAGGTTTCTTCCCTCACCTAGCTGACTTGCTTCACCCCAGATTTTCCTTCTCTGGCAGTATTCTGAATCACGTGTGCTAGAAGGGCCGTTTCAGGCTGTGCTGTCAGGGAACCTCACCTCAATATAGGTAATCTCATTTGCTCTGTTCATTTATTGGCTTTCCCCCCACTTAAGCAATGAATTTCACATCTCAGATAATCCAGGATCTAAATTTTCCCTTGCTCTTTAGTTTTTGTTTTCTTGGTTCTGTCCTTCCTAATGTGTATCAGCACTGGTCCTAACCCTCCTGTTCCCTTGTTTAAGCATTTGTCGTCGAACACCCTTGATGCTTATGTGTCCCTTGGTTCGTCAGTATCTTGTAATGGTGCTTAGTAGATGTTAGCTGCCTTCCCACAGGTATTGATTTTTAATTTCCATGCCTTGCTCTATGTGAGCACCTTGGTACCCATACGTTCACAAACGGTTATTAGAGCCTCTTACATTTCCTATTTCTCATGGAAAATAGCAGCTGCTCAGTTTTACCCCATGATGTGTTGTCTCGACAGGGAAATCAGATGCCAGGCTGTTTTCCACTTCCAGAATGCTCCCACCCTGGTGGGAGCTGCTAATGTGGCATCATTGAATACAGAGTTGGGAAGACATGTATATAAGCGGCTTTTGCTAGTCTAGTCTGCCTTGTGTAGGGCCCTCATATTTGACACAGCACATCACACATGGGAACTAAATGTTCAGTGCAGGACTGAAACTCAGTTATCAACTGATTAGGACTGGATGATTTGCCGTAAATCAGTGAACTTCTTACCTAATTCTTGTTCTATAACTAACTGTGTCCCTTTTGTTCACCACGGATGTACGCACAGAGAAGCCCATCGTATTCACAAAACAAAGAAATAAAAGGAGTTCCTGGGCAAACTGTCTGCTAACACAATTCAGTCAGAAATACCAAGAGTGACCGAGACTTGTCTCCTCAAGAGTCGTCATGGATACCAAGAGTGCACTTAATTGCTCTTTATCTTCCCTCATGTGTAGTGAACCCGAGTGGATTTACCAAGATTTCAATGGTTTGCAGATTTCAGTATTTTGACATAAAAAGTTATTATGCTAATAACTCTGTATGTGGAGTTAAACAAAGCTACTCAGCTCTTGCATCTCTGTCCAGTTTCTGTTGCTACAACAAAATACAGACTGAGCTGATGGGAGATGTCATTCTGTAAATACGTTTCTCTTATTGGTTAATGAGTAAAGCACTGTTGGCCAATAGGAAAGCAAGACAGGTGGGACTAGGAGACAAGGAGGAGAGAGGAAGGAGTAAGGAGGAGTCAGCATGGAGAGACTGGAGAGAACAGAACCACCAGCCCCCTCTCTCCGGTAAGATGAGACCACATGGAAATACATAGATTAATAGAAATGGGTTCATACTTAAGACAGAGCTAGCCGATAAGAAACCACTAACAGGCCTACAGCATTCCATCAAATACAGAGTCTCTCTGTGTGTTATTGGGGCTGGCGCCATGGTGGGACCAGACCGGAGATGGGGAAAAGTACTGGAAACACTGGGCAGCTTCTAACGAAGAGAAATGTAGTGTAGGTTGAAGCTCTGCATGTAGTGAGGGTCGCACTGTGCCTCGTTGTGGCAGCAGACATCAGTGTTCAGAGAGACTGAGCAGGAAAGTGTAGCTGTCTGTTCTTCCTGTCATAAAGCCATGTCCCATCATGGGGCCTCGTCCTTGTAACTCTAACTCTGATTACCTCCGTCGGCTGAGCTCCAAGTAGCATCAACATAAAATTAAAGGTTTCCATTTCTATCATGAACACTCGGGGAATATTTCAAGCATAGCATTATTCTATTAAAAACTACCACCAAACTTACAGAAACAGGGTAGTAAGATTCTGTGTAAATGTGCAGGGCACATTGCTCTCTGAGTTTGGTTGTCACTCTGTTGTGGAGAGCGCAGTTCATTTAGGACTGACAAACAACGCCATTTCTCACGTATTTTGATGCACACGCATGAAGAACAGTTAAGGGTCTGTGTTCTGTTTCACAGCAGCTGAGCCTGCCTATCAGCAATCGCAAACCCAAATGTTTGTGACTTTTAGGTTCCTACTTGACTCTGTACCAGACTTTAGCACCCACATTTGGAAAGATACATTGGTTTCCAGCAGGAATTGGCTATGGGGGTGTTTTTAAGTGGATGAGAACTATTTGAAATAGAACTCTGTTTCCTTTGACAGGGGCTGACAATATCCGGAAATACTGGAGCCGATACTACCAAGGGTCTCAAGGAGTAATATTCGTCTTAGACAGTGCCTCTTCAGAGGATGACCTAGAGACGGCTAGAAATGAACTCCACTCTGCTCTTCAACACCCACAGTTATGCACTTTACCCTTTTTAATATTGGCCAATCATCAGGACAAGCCAGCAGCCCGCTCAGTACAAGAGGTAGGCACGGCTCGTTAGCGCTCCGTTCCCGTCCCCTTTGTTTGTGGAGCCTCTGCCACCGTGTTGGAATCTGGGAGGATGTGCACCTGTGGGTGTGAGGGACATGCGCTTTTGCCTTGAAAGCATCGCTGTGACGGGACACAGAATGCCCATTACCATATTTGTTATATACCCAACTCTGCTTGAAAAAACAAATTCTTTTTTTAACTGGAAGACATGCCTGGGTATTTTTCTCTTTTATTTTGAAGAGGTAAAGGCCTAGGTAACAACGTCTTAATTTCACCCTCTAACTTGGTAACTTTTGGAGGGACACATTGTCCCTTTTACCAGACATTTCTTGGCCTCTGATGTCAGGTTCTTGGCCCTCTGAAATACTTGCTGTTGGTTGAAAAAACGATGTCTTAGCTTGCGAGTTCCATGCCATCAAATATATTTTAATGTGGCTTTACTCTTCTAGTTGCATTTCTAATCTTGTTTCTTTGCTATGAAAGTTTGAGCTATTCTGGGCAAACAGTGTCACTATGAGCTGAGGTTTTTGTTCCTAGCACTAAAATAATAAGATGTAAACTATTGCAACCAAACCTCCCGTTGTATTCCTCTGCACCTGCACGTTACATGATATATGTTTTCCTGTCCCTCAGAGCACTGTAAGGGTTAATAGGAATGAATGATGTTGCCCTTTTCATCGGGGACAGTTGCTAAGGAACCAAGATCATAATGAGATTTCATTCCAACCTTCCCTCATATTTGGTGTGGACCCATGGCTAATAGCTTTGTTCTTCTGTCTGGCTTCTCAACAAATTGTTCTCAGTGCACAGGGTTAATTTGAATGATTTGTTCTAATTTTATAGTATTTTACTACTGGAGGAGGCCTGTGTATGAATAATTTTACTTATTTAATAAACAGTGAAGCACAGAGATTTGTCACTCAGCCCACAGAGCTGCGCGTAGTTGCCTCCTTCAAGTACTACCATGTCACTTTATAGACACTGGAAAATGTATTTGATAGTAAGTAAAGAAAAATAGCACCTAGGTAGTGGTGGCGCACGCCTTTAATCCCAGCACTTGGAAGGCAAAGGCAGGCGGATCTTTGAGTTCAAGGCCAGCCTGGTCTACAGAATGAGTTCCAGGACCGAGAGGACTACACAGAGAAACCCTGTCTGAAACCGAGGCGGGGGTGGGGGTGGTAAGAGCCATTTAGATCTTCACGATGCAGATGTCCTCACTGTGCTGCTGCCCCCCCCCCCCGCCCCACGAGCTGTTCTCAGCACTCTGGCCCATGAGTTAACTTCTTGCCGTGAGGCTTTGCATAGAAGAAGTATACACACATGAACTGCTACATTTGTTTATGCTGTGAGGTGCTTTCCTCAAAGTATGTCCATCTCACAGGTGAGATGGGAACGTAAGTGTTATTATACAATACAGATAGATAATATAGTTGTGTACATGTAAAAGGTATGCACGATATGCTAGTGTAATGCACAGATAGGTACATACAAGTACTAACCAGACCTTCAATCACTTGAGTTGAGTTGGATGTAGCTTTCAGAGAGGCTTTTTCTTAGACATCAGATAACCAAGACAAGCACGTTTTGTTTTTTTTTTTTAAAGATTTATTATTTTTCAGCTATGGGGAAAGAGGGTATGTGAATGTGGGTACAGATGACCTCGAAGGCTACAGGCATCAGATCCCTTGGGAACTCACCTTTACCATCTCTTCAGCCCCTACAGAAATATCATTTAAACTTAATAAATGACCCACGGCAACCCTCTCTAGGAGTTAGAGACTTAACATTGAATAAAAGAAGCTTCTAGCAAATGGTTGCTTCTAGTAGTCCTTATGGACATTAACTGGCTATTTCACTCTAAAAACAAACAAAACAAACAAAAACAACAGCTCTCACACAAGTATTCCTTTGTGGCTCAGTAACTGATGTGTGTAAATATGGAGTAGTCATAGATATTGTTTGACAATGATCCCAAACTTTACAGACTAGAATTCATGAGAACTTCATCTCCCTTCCCACTTGTATCGACTTTTAATTAATTTTCCTGGAATGTTTTGCTTGTGAAGAGAATTTATTCAGGTTTGAAGATGTTTTTAGGTAAAAACACTTTGCCTTGTCGATGTACCAACATATACCATACAGGTGCATGTTAACAGCATTTACAGAAATTTTCCAGGGAAGGGGGGAAGTTCCGAGATGGGCTCAAGGTTCGCAGGTGCACAGTGACTGCTTGCTAACCCTGGCTTCAGTCTGGCCGAGAGAAGAAAGGGAAGTATCCCATCCCTCTCTTGTAACCTCTCTGGTGTGTGTTTATATACTGCCGGGTCGAAAGAATCTCAGGAACGTCTTAAGAGTTAAATCAGTACCTTATTGTTAGCATAAGAACGGAGTTGTGGAACTGAATATTCCGTATACAATAAACAATACTCTCCAACTGGTTGGGAACAGCAGGTCTGGGTAGGAAATTAAAAGACAGAGACCCATGTTACTTGAAATAATATGTTTTAGACATGTATTTAGATCATTAGATCATTTAGACATGGTTATCTTTTTGCTATTCTTCCTTTGGTTTAAGATACCATATGAAGTGTTTTGTTTGCCTGTGCCTACTAATCTGTGTAAAAGTTGGTGATGCGTTTAAGTGTTAAAAAAAAAGATGGCATTTTACCTTGCAAAGTACCTGTGGCTTTTAAGGGAGAAATTCTACTCAAAAAATCAAGGCGTTTAACAAGAAACACTAACAGTGTGACTCAGTTAAGAAAAAGCAGGATGCTTTCCCTCTCTTCCTGGAAATTATTGTATTTCGTGTTTCCTGGGGCAAGTGTGCCAGGATCTGTCCTGTCACTTGAGTAGAGTTTAGGAGTTGGCTTGTTTCTTAAGATACCTGTTAACTGAAGTGTGGACAGAAGCCGGTGACGCTGGGGGGGGAGGGGAGGGGAAGGTGGCTGGGGCTCCAAGGAGATGAAAGTTAGCAGGAAGTTAAATGTTTTAGCCCCATCTCATGCTGTGCATGTTGCTGTCTGTATGGAGCACAGAATTAAGAAAGGGAGACAATGGTGGAAGTTGCTCCATAACCCACAAGTGGGCAGCGTGCCCAGCTATCTGTTGCCCTTTGAGGAACAAGTGAGATCTTGTAGGTAGCACATCTTCCCTTCCTATAGTATACCTGGTCATGATTTGGTCAACTCACCAGAGTTTAAGGTTTTGTAGCTTGAGAAGTGTTGGCAGCGCACGTTTTTGTTTTTTGTTTTTTGTTTTTTTAACGAAGCCAAACAAAAACGCCATGGGAAGATCCCGGGTGAAAGAGCACCCTCCGTGCTGTTGGAAAGGCCAAGCAATTCTTGTACCAGATGTTTGCTGAGTTTACTCTCGGGAGATGTGGTTACTGCCATTTTCCAGGATAAATTCATATCACCTCCTTTTCTCAATGGAAAACATACTAGAAAAAGCTGTGCTCATGCCAAGTGGCCCACTTGATAGATTAGGAGAAAATCTGGTCTAATTTAAATGGTGAAGCTATAAAATGAGAACGCTTAAGAGTAAATAGTTTGGCTTTTTATTTGCATTGTATTGTAATTGTACCTAATTTGTTTTACAACTCCCTTTGGAGAGCATACTTCAGTTCGAAGTTACTAAGTAGATCAGGAATATTTTATGAGAAGTTAAGTTGATATAATACCCAATAAATGTAATCCTATTTTCCCTCTCCACAGTTGCTGACTGTCATTCTTTTACTTCCTGGCTTTTAAAAAATCTTATTTTCATTTTATTGACTTTACCAGGCCATATAAAATGACACATTTTGTTAACATGAGAGAGACAGTCCTTATTTTTAGCAATTTCATTTGATTTGATGTTTATAGGTATCCTTAATCCAAAAGTGCCTAACTTTGTCAGAAATGCTACATTAAAAATGAATTATCGATTATTTTTGTAATTGTAAATAGTAATTGAAATATATGAATACCTTGAAGCAGGTTTTTGAAGCAGAATTTATAAGGCCTAGTGGCTTGATTGGTTTCATGCTTCATTAATTATAGCTTAGAAAATTCCAGGTTGTAAATTAGAGTGTCAATATTACATAAGAAATTTGTGATTACAGTGTCTACTAATTTCTGATGCAGTGTGCATGGAGCTCAGTGTTATGTTGAAAATAATAATGTAGAAATGTGAGAGCAGTCTTTACAAGTGCCTATGTAAATACCAGCTTATAGACTATATTTCTCAAGGATATGCGCATTCAGATTTTTTCAGCTGTTTACTTCATCTTTAGGGTTTTCTTCAGGGTTTGTCTTCTGTAAGAAGGATATGTGTGTTTTATGGTATTTAACCATCTCCCTTTATTGTAATTCCAATTTATAGATAGTTTTCATGCCAAGTCCATTTTTCCTTTAATATATGTCACCAGATAATGCACCTTTAGGTTGCATTTTTTTTTAGTTTGTCTTGCTACTGCTCAACTATTGGATAGTTCTCTTTAGGAGTTCTATGAAGGGACAAGTAAACAAGGATTGTATCGAAATGAAGACAAATCTTGTGTTAGAGAGTGCCCAGCACTGCGGAAGTGCATAGAGCACCCGGTTTGACAGAATGTCATTTTCTGTGTATGGAGGAAAATATTTTCACTGGGAAGTTTACTACACTTAAAGTCTACAGAGTTCTCCGTGTATCTTGACCTGTCTCTTGGCAGCGTTTTGGAGTACCGATTTGATTTCACATACAGCAGTGTACACAGCTATGGTGTGAGCAGTTCAGAAACTCCCCTATGGGGCATATACTTATTCTAAAATGATATAAGAGATAGAGATAGTTTTGTCCGTCCCTTACAGATGTACTCCACACTGTTACAATTAAATTGTGGGAGGTAATGACAGGGTTTGGGAGTCTGTTCCCCACTGAATGACTCAGTTATTTCTTAAAAATATTTCTTGACCCGTAAGAAAAGCTGAGTTAGCAATCACTTCATTAGTTGCAAAAAAAACATTATCATAA